TACTATATATATATATATATATATATATTTAGTTACCGGAGGATGCGTACATCTTGTGGGAACGCAGAAAGCATACCTTTCCTACTGCAATACCATTAGGCATCCACTGCAGCACACATGGGAAGCCAACTGTAAGTACCTCCGGTCGATACATAAATTCACATTCGACTTGATATTCCGCTTCATTGGATCCCATGGTGGCGGATGACCTCCCATTGGGCGACGTAGAACGGTACGAAATAATTTTGACTGCTTGTCGCGCGTTTCTAGAGTAGAAAATAGGCTGAAGGTTTGGAGTGAAGCTCTGAGACAGCAACTGGACACTCAGAAAAAATGTGCTGCAAACATTCTCCGGCTTCCCCACGAGGACTTTACCTTTATGAGAAATTTCGACTTGCTCAGGCAGGTAATCCAAGGCAAAAGTTGCCTCATCGCCAGGATACGCCTCGTTAACGTGGGTTCGTTCAATGTGAATGCCCCGGATAAGGACCGGGTGAAAAGCCCCAGACGTGTCCGGCCCAATACAGCAGCTGCACCCCACTACCACCCTTCCCCGCGAAACACGACCCTGTAGGACAGGCCCAATGTTCCGAACCTGGAAGGCGCGGTCTAGAAGTACCTCAAATAGGGGCTGAGACATGGATGATGCCGCCGGGGACTGGGACACAGGGTGCTGCACGCTTCGCAGGTGCGCAACGCAGTACCGGAACAGGCCCAAGCCCCTCCCCGTCACACTCGAGACCGGGAACAACGGAACCCTTGGGGGAGGCAGCGTGGGTATGGGATCGAGATTGGTGAGATCGCAGCCCACGGTGGCGTTACTTGACTGCATTGGCAGCCATTTCATACAATACTCGAGCGCGTCTTCCTTGCTATAGATCAGGTTACACATGCACCCCACGCCCTCCAAAGTGGCGCTCAGATCCATACAGTACGTGTACAGCTCAAACTCATCGACGACATCACACTTCGTAACAACGAGTAGGAAAGGAGTCCCCATCGCGGCACACGTCTGGGCGTACAATCCTAAGCAGTGCGTGGGCTCATTGGCTGCCACACACAGACACACATAATCTGGCTTTCGGCTCATAATACCGAAGAGCATAGACTTGGCGATGTCGCCCCCAACATCCATCATAAGAATAAAGCGGTGCTGCTGCTTTTCTGATCCATTCGTTTTCCGATTGGAGTTCCCGTGTTGGGGATTGATATCAGGGGTAGCAACAGCAATAAAAGGCATTGCCAACGTCTTCCAGTTCTGTTCTTTAGAAAACTGATCTGGGTCAAAGAAATCATCACCGTCAACGGACAGCAGACCTTGGCCTAGGCTCTCCTCGTCCACATCATGTGCTTCGTTCAAACACCAAATCCGTGTTGATATTGACGTGGTACGTCCAGTATTGATTTCGTGTTTGTGGTTAAACAAAAGCTGACGAGTGCTTCCGTCGCCGTCGTCCAAAGTGGCACTAAGTAGCACCCCCATCAGAGTCGATTTCCCACAATTTACAGCACCACAAAACACTACACTTAAGTCCTGCCCTGCAGCAGTATGTCTTCTTGAAACAAGCAACTCGCCGCAGAAAAGGACTTCGGGGTGCGTTTGAACCACACAGCGCTTGAGTAAAAGGCAATCAAAC